TGGAATAGTTTAGGTTAGATGGGCTTCAGATTGGTTTCACAGGTCGGTGCAACATCGAGGGCCGAAGGGCCTGTACTGCGCTGTAATGTTCTATGTTCTATGTTCTAACCAATCACCCCCACCCCCAAAACATCATCTCGTGAACCTTCTCTGGACTGCCTCCAATGCCAGAAAATCTTACCTTCGACAAGGAGCCCAAAACTTCACAATATTCCAGCTAACTTGTGCCTTTATAGGATTTAGCAATGTTTCCCTTTCTTTATACATACCACTCTCTCATACAGTGACATTTAACAAACCTACAATCCTACCAGCCAAATTATCTTTGTTGGCTGGTCTGACCCTATCTTACTGCCGTTTTTATTCTCCACCAAAACCATCCCTCCCCTTTCCATCATTGCCACTAAACGTCAGCTGCTGCATATTTTTTTTTTTACAAAAGACACGACCAACACTCACTCATCTCAATCCACACGGATAAGGACAACCACCAATTCGACTGGGACAACACCAAAATCCTGGGTCAAGCTAAGCAGAGACAGGCACAGGAATTCCTAGAAGCCTGGCACTCCACGAAGAAAGCCATTAATAAACACATAGAACTCGACCCCATATACACTCCACTACGAATGAAAACTGGAAGTGAGGCAATCCAGCTCAAAGAACTCCAGAGTTTAAAAACCAGGCAGGAACACACCCGACACTTCATCGGAGGCTGCAGTGATGATGTTACCCAGCATGGTAACGAAACGTCTGCGGAACAACAAACCAGCTCAGCGAGCCAACCAACCTCAAAATCCAGTTCCCCACAAACCTATGTGTCTCAGAATTCTTCAAGAATTGTACAACACAAATCTTCCAGTTTTACAAAAAAAATTCATCAAGTGGAGCTTGTCACAAAAAAGACTTTTACCCCTTCCACATAAATCATTTTGCAACACCTAATGCAAGAGATGACAACACTGCCAAAAAAGCCAAGCTGAGACTCTCACTTTTCACTGTGGCATTTCAGTACATTCATCAGTTTCTTTTTCATCAACAGGACTACGTACACTACTAGTATGCATCCATCCTTTCAGGTGACCTAAGTCAGACAATTAGTTTCCCAAACCTCTCAGTAAGTTTATTTTTCCATTCAATGGACAGCCAATCTTTGAGAAAATTTAGAACTGATCTTACAGACAACTAATATACCTGCCATAGTCTGAACATACATCTGGAAATCTGCCTTCAAAACATACTTTGGCCTGTTACATGTATACAAAACACCTCCAGGAAGTTGGATTAAAGTTTTAAAATCCTCCAGCAGTGCCTTCAGCAGTTGCATAAGCATGATAACTGTGACGTAGATAACACATAAATGTACATCTTGAGTCAGTTTTTTTTTAAATGTTCCTAGATTTATAAGACTTCTTCAAGTGTTCACATGTGAGCACAAATTATTTACTGCCTCTAGCTGATCTCCCACCTGAGAGTTTCAAAAATTTACATACATATATACACAAAGAACTCTGCAGATTTCAGGCATATTCCAGATCTTAACATCTGCTGTGACTAAATTTTATTTTTAAAGCATGCTAAACTGCAGATCCTTTTAAGGGGACTGTGGTTTGCCAACCTAACCATCCATGCCACCACACAGCACTTTGATCTTCTGTAATTCCGCAGTCAGTTTTTGAAAGGAGTTCAATCAAAAATCAGACCATCCCAAACTCCAAATAAAAGCAACATCAAAAAACACAATACAGAAGAAAGACTCTATTTCACATACTTGGAAAACAGATTTTTAACATATTTTTGTTTTTCTGCAACATTGTAGATTAATACAACTATATATTAGCTACTTGTCAATAAAATAATGTCTTGTAATGGAATTCAAGGTGCAGTACAATTTAAAACAAAAATTAAAGCAGAAACTTCCATGCAGCCTTGGTGCATTTTACTTTTAAAGGCACTACATAACTGTCAGATTTTATTGAGACCATGGCATGAAAGTTGAAGAGGACAGATGAGAAGTAGGAATTTCATCACATAGCTGGCGTTAATACTAATTTTAGTGATGCGTACAGACTCACCAGTTTATGATACAGAAGGTGGCCAGTCAGTCCATCTTGTCTGCACTGGCTGTCTGAGCATTTTAATCTCCTGTCAGTTTCCTGGAAGCCTCCACATTATTTCTATTTAAATGGCCATCCAATGCCCTCTTGAATGCCTCAATTCAACCTGCCTCCACCACACTTCCAGTCAGTCCGTTCCATACTCTAACTACTTGCTGTGTGAAAAAGGTTTATCTCACTTTGCAACTGCTTCTTTTGCAACACACTTTTAAAGTAAGCCCTATGGTTCTTGATCTGTTTATGTGTGGGAGCACTAGCCACTCTCTCCAGATCCCTCATAATTTTAAAATCTTCTATCAAATAGTCTCAACTTCTCCAATCTTTCTCATAACTAAAATGCCTCATCCCTGAACTATTTGAATGAACCGTTTCTGCATTCTCTTCAATGCCTTCACAACCTCCCTATAAGTGAGGCACCAGAACATTTGTTTTGTCCACAGTATTCCAACATAACAGAAGGAGATGACTTCAGCAGAAAGGTATTCTGTGTCGGTGTCCAGTTAAGTACAGCTACTGACACAGGATCATAGAAATATTTCCGATTGGGTTCATGGCACAAAAAATAGTTGAGCTAATGTGGAACTGGCTCTTTTATAAAGGAACCAATATTAAATGTGCTCACATTTGAAGCAACCATAGCACTTGGTGAACATCACCCTCAAGATGTGTTGAAACTGAATGAGGTATTTGTGACTGGGAGGTAGAATTTTGTTAATGCTGCAAAACAAGTTAAAATTTAATAATGCTAATTTAAAAGACAGTCATCACAGCAGGGACAGTAGCAATACTATAGGCACAGCAAAGCTGCTGCGGTAGCAACATACGTCCCAAAGTAAGTGTTACATTTCACTGGGGTAGCAAGCTTGAAATTAAACCCCATTATTTCCAGATTTGGTCACAAAGGTTAAAGATTTTATCAATGTATGTAAAATTCCCCAATTCACTTTTATTTTAGGCCCAGGTTAACAAAAATGCACAGACCAGGTTTCTGTACTTGATGAGAAGGACAATTTCTTATAAATAAATAGTTTTTTTTACCTGTAGTCAGAATCTAAGAACTATCAACATATAACTCTATTTGTCAAAACTCTAACCCTTCTCCCTTGTAAACTATCCACCCCCACACCAACACACACACACACACACTCTCATAGAGACACAGACAAATGAGAAACTATTAGTGTTATGAGTGGAGAGAAAAACTGAGAAGGCAATTCAATGGACCCTGTTGACAGGTCGCCCAAGATGATCCTTTGGGTTGTCAGGACTTGCTGTTGTGGTTGATCTCTCTCTTTTTCAGGTACTTTCACTTGCTTGGAAAAAGCAGAGAGCGACTTGCTCACAAGTTATAAAGTCTCTGATTCATTAGTTAAAAGCAACAGCTTAAAGGAACAGATGAGAAAAAAATAATCTGGTTTTAGACATTTTTTTTTAAACTGCAGAGCAAAAGGTAACCATCCACCCATTCTGGGGTGCTGAAGGCTTCTGCCTATATTGTTTATATTCACAAGGTGTTCAGCTAGCGGTGAGATAATCACAAGGTGTTCAGCTAGCTGTGAGATAATCACACAGTTGTTGGCAGGCAGAAGGCCTTTGTTTCAACAACTGGTTACAATTCCACAGACTAATCAGCTACCTGTTCCCAGCCAAATCTTATTTTGTACATAGTCCCTTGTGTCAGTTTGTCTGCAACTAAATGTCCCCTATTGGCTGAACTAGCGAGAGTGTAAGCGGCAGTTACCACAAGTGCTGGTAGCTTGCTTTTAAAAAGTGAAGCAATCTGTTCCACAAACCTTGCTTTCTAAAATAGTCCTTTTCCCAATCCAGTCTACAACTAACAATACAGAAAAATAAAAGCCAACAGTTGCTATAGCTTGTAAAAACCAGAATATTTCATTTTTTAAAAATTAGTACTATTGAAGAGAAATGTGCATATCATAAAGTGCACTGTACATCTAAAATCTATTATAAAAAGTTGAGTATCCTGACCCTTTAACTATAATTCACTGTTGAATGGAGATAATTTCTAATTAAATATTAGTGATGTTTATGCCCAGGAATGAACAAAAATGAATAATAATTATTTAAATGCAAGTCTACTAACCTCAACAAATATGTATTATCAATGAGCACATACCGACTGATCAGTGGTAAGTGGAGTGTAGCCTGTCATAAGAAAGTGCAGTCTTGGAGTGGGAATGAGGGAGGCAATCAGCCCAATCAGATCATTGTTCATGTATCCAGGGTACCTCAGTGTGGTGGTACTTGCAGACATGATGGTAGAGACCTATTTAAGGAATCAAACAGCAATGCTATAAGGTCACACTGCAGCTATATAGTGATTTTTGAAACTAAAGAGTGCTTCACAGTACATCATTTTAATCTACCAAACATACTGCCTTCATGTACCTTAAATAGAGGGCAGAATTAATAGCAAAGATTGTGTTAGCAGACAGGAATTGACAGCTCCCATTCCTCATTATAAAGGACCAGAGATCATTATGACTACTCTGAAAACATTTACACAATACTCTTCCTCTAGTTATTCTCTGCTTGGTCTATTCTGTTTATTGCACTACTCGATCTTTTCATGATTAATACTTCACCTCCTATAATCATAGCACATGCCTTCAAGTGCTTGCCATGATAAAACATATTCCATGAGGAAGCAGTTAAGTTTGATATGGTATTGCTTATCAGGAAAAACACTATACTGTTAGAAAGTGGGGACTGTTTTTGAGGAGGGGCAAGAACAGAGTTCATTTGGTTAGAGGTGAAATGCTAAAACTTTGATCACATTTCTGGGGGAGATTCTAAAGGTTTCCAAACAGAAAGAGAAAAACAAATCTGCAAAGGAATCAGTGATGTGCAAGAACTATATATCGATGATATGTGGGACTTTAGTTATCCATATACTGACTGAGATACTACTACAGTCTAGGGTATAGAGGACGAGGAATGTCTGAACTATCTTCTGAAGAACTTCCTTGTTCATTATGTTTCTTGGTCAACTAGAAAGGTGGTTTTGCTAGATCTGGTGCTGGGGAACCCAGATGGGCCATGTGGGTTAAGTGTCTTTTGGGAGCACTCAGTTAAGAGTGATCATCATGTCATAAGTTTTGGTCATATAATGCAGAAGAGCAAAGAACAATTTAAAGTAGAATATCTAAACCGAAAAAGAAGGCTAACTTCAATGCAAGAAAAATTCTAGTCAGAATAAAATGGAAGCAAAGTCCGACATGAAAAACTGAAATGGAGCAATAAGGGATCTTTAAGGATGACATGCTTCAGGTGCAGGCTAGTATATACCAAAAAGGGAAAAAAAGGTTGGAAAACAAAAAGCAAGTCTCTTTAGATGATGCAGGAGATGGAATTTATAATGAAACAGAAAAAGGAAGATGTATTGTGCATGTCAGCTGAATTCTTCAAGTTGAGAATGAGGTCAAATACAATAGGTCATCAAGGGCAGGTGAAGAGGAAAATGGGATTGACAAAGTGTGAATATGAGAACAGAATGTAAGTTTATATAAATAAAGGTCTTCTACATGCATCAAAAAAGTGAGTTTTAAGAGATGGTAGGGGTCCTATTAAGGCCAAAGCGGGTGATTTATGCTTAGCGATGCAGGGGAAGGCCAGAATACTTAGGTATTTTTTGTGCGTTCAAGAATGAAGAGAAATCTGACAATATGTTGGTAAAAAGGATAGGGTGAAATTGAGATAGAAGATAATGGAAAAGCTGGCTATGCATTGCAGTAATCAAATCACCTGGTCTGAATGGCTAATGTCCTAGGTTGCTAAGGGAATGTGTAGCAGAAGGGATTTGCCATAAACTTCTGACCGTTCCTAGATATGGGGGCGCATCCAGAGGGCTGCAAAGTGCTAAGGGTGACACCCTTATTTAAGATGGGGTTAAAGGACAGTATACGAGAAAGGATTGCTTTTGTTAGAGCAAAAAATATTAAGGGGTAATTTTTTTGAGGTCATCAAAACCAAAAAGGGCTCCAACTATGCCTAAATCACATGTTACAAATTCGATTTACAGTTCAAGAAATAAGGAACAACTGCTTTTAGTGACAGAGATGTCAATAACCTGAGGATAAAGGTGGAAGAAAAAGAACAACAGGTAACACAAGGGACCAATTACTTAGGAGATAATAAAGTGTAGAGCTGGATGAACACATCAGGCCAAGCAGCATCAGAGGAGCAGGAAAGCTGACGTTTCAGGCCTAGACCCTTCTTCAGAAATGGGGGAGGGGAAGGGGATTCTGAAATAAATAGGGAGAGAGAGGGGAGGCGGATAGAAGATGGATAGAGGAGAAGATAGGTGGAGAGGAGACGGACAGATCAAACAGGCGGGGATGGAGCCAGTAAAGGTGAGTGTAGGTGGGGGGTTAGGGAGGGGATAGGTCAGTCCAGGGAGGATGAACAGGTCAAGGGGGCGGGATGAGGCTAGTAGATAGGAGATGGGAGTGGGGCTTGAGGTGGGAGGAGGGGATAGGTGGATGAAAGGACAGGTTAGGGAGGTGGGGACAAGCTGGGCTGGTTTTGGGATGCGGTTGGGGGAGGGGAGATTTTGAAGCTTGTGAAGTCCACATTGATACCATTGGGCTGCAGGGTTCCCAAGCGAATTATGAGGTGCTGTTCCTGCAACCTTCGGGTGGCATCGTTGTGGCCCTGCAGGAGGCCCAGCATGGACATGTCGTCTGAGGAATGGGAGGAGGAATTGAAATGGTTTGCGACTGGGAGGTGCAGTTGTTTAGTGCGAACCGAGCATAGGTGTTCCGCAAAGCGGTCCCCAAGCCTCCGCTTGGTTTCCCCGATGTAGAGGAGGCCACAACGGGAACAGCGGATACAGTATACCACATTAGCAGATGTGCAGGTGAACATCTGCTTGATGTGGGAAGTCTTCTTGGGGCCTGGGATGGGGGTAAGGGGCAAGGTGTAGGGGCAGGTGTAGCACTTCCTGCGGTTGCAGGGAAAAGTGCCAGGTGTGGTGGGGTTGGAGGGGAGTGTGGAGTGGACAAGGGAGTCACGGAGAGAGTGGTCCGTCCGGAAAGCAGATAAGGGTGGGGAGGGAAAAATGTCTTTGGTGGTGGGGTCGGATTGCAGATGGCGGAAGTGTCGGAGGATGATGTGTTGGATCTGGAGGTTGGTGGGGTGGTACGGGAGGACGAGGGGGATTCTGTTTTGGTTGTTATTGCGGGGAGGGGGTGTGAGGGATGAGTTGCAGGAAATGCGGGAGACACAGTCGAGGGCGTTCTCGACCACTGACGGGGGGGATGTTGCGGTCCTTGAAAAACGAGGACATCTGAGATGTTCGGGAGTGGAATGCCTCATCCTGGGAGCAGATGCGGCGGAGGCGAAGGAATTGGGAATAGGGGATGGCATTTTTGCAGGAAGGTGGGTGGGAGGTGGTATATTCTAGGTAGCTGTGGGAGTCGGTGGGCTTGAAATGGATATCGGTTTCCAGGTGGTTGCCAGAGATGGAAACAGAGAGGTCCAGGAAGGAGAGAGAGGTATCAGAGATGGTCCAGGTGAACTTAAGGTTGGTTGGGGTGGAAGGTGTTGGTGAAGTGGATGAATTGTTTGAGTTCCTCGTGGGAGCACGAGGCGGCGCCAATACAGTCATCAATGTAACGGAGGAAGAGGTGGGGTTTAGGGCCAGTGTAGCTACGGAAGAGGGATTGTATCCACATAACTTACAAAGAGGCAGGCATAGCTTGGGCCCATGCGGGTACCCATGGCCACCTCCTTTGTCTGTAGGAAGCGGGAGGAATTGAAAGAGAAGTTGTTGAGGTTGAGGACGAGTTCGGCTAAGCAGATGAGGGTGTCAGTGGTCGGGCCTGCGGGACAGGAAGAAGCGGAGGGCCTTTAGGCCATCTGCATGGGGCATGCAGGTGTATAGGGACTGGACGTCCATGGTAAAGATGAGACGTTGGGGACCAGGGAATCGGAAGTTTTGGAGGAGGTGGAGGGCGTGGGTGGTGTCAAGGACGTAGGTAGGGAGTTCCTGGACCAAGTGGGAGAAAATGGAGTCGAGATAGGTGGAGGTAAGTTCGGTGGGGCAGGAGCAGGCGGAGACAATGGGTCGACCAGGGCAGTCAGGTTTGTGGATTTTGGGAAGGAGATAGAAGCGGGCAGTACGGGGTTGGGGAATGATGCGGTTGGAGGCTGTGTGTGGGAGGTCACCTGAGGTGATGAGGTTGTGGATGGTTTGGGAGATGATGTTTTCGTGGTCAGGGGTAGGGTCATGATCAAGGAGGCAGTGTCGGAGACTTGGCGCCTGGCCTCGGTGATGTAGAGGTCAGTGCGCCATCCTACAACTGCGCCTCCCTTGTCCGCGGGTTTTATGGTGAGGTTGGGATTGGAGCGGAGTGGGTGGAGGGCTGCACGTTCTGTGGGGGAGAGGTTGGAGTGGGTGAGGGGGCTGGAGAGGTTGAGGCAATTGATGTCTCGACGGCAGTTGGAGATGAAGAGGTCGAGGGAGGGTAGGTGGTGTCCAGGAGGAGGGGGTGTGTTGGAGATGGGAGAAGGGATCAGTAAGGGAAGGGTTAGGCTCACGGTTAAAGAAGTAAGTGTGGAGGCAGAGGCGAAAAACTGTTCAAGGTCCAAGCGTGAGTGGTATTCGTTGATGTTTGGGTGGAGGGAGACAAAAGGTGAGCCCTTACTGAGGACTGACTGTTCGTCCTCAGTAAGGCAGAGGTCTGGGAGGATGGTGAAGACTCGGCA